GGCCATTTGCGTGTAGCCATTCTTGCACAGTCTGCATCGTCCATGTTTATCAGCATGGATGGGAAAAAAGGCTCCTGAGTAAAAAAAGCTCATAAAATATGGATTTGGAGTAAGTAGATAATTGGCATTTGGCTGTTGCAAATCTGCAACACCTGCCTGGAGAGGGTTAAATCTGACAAGATCTTTGGCTTTGACAAGGTGGCATGGCCACTATGGTCGCTGGAATGTTCCACAGTGTGGCATTACACTTATTTATTTCTGCAGGGATAGCAGGTGATGCAATAGGGCCAAGTTACATGTAAAATCTGTGCAGAGGCGAGCCCACTCACAGTAAGAATGCATGTTTGTTAGTTAATGCCATACTATGAAAACTTTCATTCAAAGGAATAAAATCTCCATGGAGACAAGCAGGTGCCAAATCCTCCCCCAGCAAAGTTTCATTGTGCAAAATTTAATTCAGTGGGCTTGACTAAAAAAAGTTATTAAAGTAATTTCAGTGCTATTATTTCTTAATTTTATGCACAAGAAAAACATTGCTGTTGTTATCCGCATAATTCCAAGCACCATTGTGAATAATTTGTTGTCACTGTAGCATTAATTAAACAACCACATCTGCCTACTTTATCAGACTTGTTCACTCCAGCTGTTAAGTCTCCTTGAATATCAAAACAGTTACAAAAATGATTCTTTTGAAAACCTCACTATGGTGTAAACATGGGTTTTGTAACTTTCTCAAAACAGAAATACTTCTCTGACTGCACCATAAAATCCATGACAGGAACCAAGGCCATGAAACTGAGCACAGTGCTGCAGCCTTGGGTGACAGCTGCTGAGGAAGAGCATCTCAAACCTCCAGCTCTCCTGCAGTCTCCCAAGGTAAAGCAATAGACAGCCCGCAGACAGAGAGATGGAGCCCAGAAGAAGCGCTATAGTCTGGGGAAGAGGAGCCAGGAGCGCAGGGGGGAGCTGCTCTGCCAGGGAGCCTAGAGCCAAGCAGACTTCCACTGGGCATGTCCAAGATCCCAGGCCAGCTGTCCCATCAGCAGCAGCAGTACCGGGGCTTTCTGGTGGGATCTGCGCCCCACGAGATTGGAAAGTAGTATTAGCAACTTTTTCTAAACTTTCCTTCTTTACTATGACTTTATACTATACTATATATTTCAAGTTGCATCTTTGAATCTCGAATACTAATTCTGTTTTCTATACATTTTAATTTCTTACAAGCAAATGATTTAAGTCATTTAAACAGCTAAGGTTATCATACTAACTAGTCAAAGTAAAGTTGGGCAATTCATTAAATTTTAATTGTTGAGCTTCAGTCATTTCTAATTGTTAATATTATGGCTGGGGCTTCTTATTGAGAAATCAACAGCCAATGTTCTACCAGTTTGGGGAAAATTTCAGATTTTGGAGGAGAATATTGAACTATTATTTGTGAAAATTGGCACTAGTTAAAAGTATTGTTCATGTTCAAAAAATTATTATTGAAAGCATTTTAGCTTTGTTTTTAAGACAAGCCAAAATAAAATAAAATTGGAAATTCAAATAAATCAAATGGAGTTTTTTGTCATTTTGCCCATCTCTAGTCAAAAGTTACACTAGTACATTTGTACTATCTTTGCCCTTCGTGTCAGACTGCTGTAAACTAAACCAGGTGAAATCATGAAAAATTGAACAGAGTCAGAGATGATGACATATGTCTTGTTTGAAACATCAGACCTGAATTCCAATCTGCAGCTGGATCCTGCCACATGGCTCTCATTAAGCCAGACTGTATTTACTCCAAAATACATCTGCAATATTGAAATCCTATTAATCAGTGTGTTTCTTCCAGTGCCGCGTTAATTATAAAACACATGGGAAATCAGTTCATGGTGTCGTCTCCTATTTGTAGACACAACCATGCAGCCATGACATTCATTAAAGAGACAAGTCTGACTGGACCAAGACCTCCATATTGTTATACAGTAGGCCAGCAGCACCCATATAGTGAGTAATTGGCACCCATCAAGATCATACTGTGACAGAGATGTATAGTTGTGTGCTTACACCTGCAGCATCTGTGATCCAAAAGCTCTGGCATGTGTTTCACTGTGAGGAATTAAGTGGTGCTGTCACATGTGTCACAAAGCGGCTCCCACGATTTATTACCTTCACATTACCCAACGGCTTCAACTCTTTCTTTGTACTTCAAAACATGTTATTAAACACAAGGTTTGTATTTTTTTCCTCCCTTGGATTAAAGGAAAAATGTTTAGTGGCATAACACTATTCTAATATTTTGGTTATATTAGTCATTTGTATGCTCTGGCAAGTACTTCTCATTGTTTTGTGATCTAACAATTTTTATTCAGACAGCTGTTTTGTGGCCTTTCATTTAGCCTTAGTTCTCACAGGTTTTTTAGATGCACAGTTTTGTTTAATCTTCTCAATTTAGTAAGGCTGAACAGTTTTTTCTCCCTTTTTTTTTTTTAATTTTCTGCAAAATACAGAAAATTGTCAAAACAAAAAAGTACATAACTGTTTCAATTAAAGTTTTAGTGTAGTAAATAGATAGCAAGATCATTTTTGTTGTGGACTGCAAATAGATAAGGCTCAAACTCATTATGAAAGCTAAACATCACTGTAAACATCTAACAGAACATTCAGCTCTGGCCCTGTGTTAAACTACTTTGCTTTTTTATTCTCCGTGAAGAGCTTTTAAGTAAGTAAGTAAGTAAGTCTTTATTTATATAGCGCTTTCACAGACATTTTCTGTCCCCAAAGACGCTTTACACAGCATTATTCATTCATTCATACAGCATTATTCATTCACTCTATACCCTGGTGATGGTAAGCTACTATTGTAGCCACAGCTGCCCTGGGGCACACTGACAGAGGCGCGGCTGCCATGCCACTCGGCGCCATCAGTCCCTCCAACCACCACCATCACTCACACACACACCACTTTCATACTAGGCAATGTGGGTGAAGTGTCTTGCCTAAGGACACAATGATTGAATTGATTGTATTTAACTGACCTTGACTATCAACTGTTTATGGAGACCTATGCAGCATGTTTTGGGTTGATGGGGGAAACCGGAGCACACCCATCCAGACACGGGGAGAAACATGCAAACTCCACACAGAAAGGCCCGGGCGACCCAGGGATCGAACCCAGAGGCATGAGTGCTAGTCACTCAGCCACCGTGCCGTTTTAAAATGTTAGTTCCTGTAACTTCTGTGAGCAGCCTTTCTTATATTTCCAAAGCAACATCCAAAAATAGGGAAAATAAAATAGATTTTCTTCTTTACAAATTCATCTGAACTAAAACTTTGATTAATTGTTTTTGCCTAACCCTACTTTAGAATATATGGTACTTGTTAATTTTGAACATTCAAGGTTTGAAGTTTGACTTGTATGACTAGCAAGACTTTGATTGATAATTCTGAATTCATCTTGCACAACATTTCTTTGTTGAGAAGTTGTGCATAAATCTAAATAAATGTTTAACTCGTCGTCTTTGTCTAAAAACAACTTGAAGTGGATTCTACATTGCGTTGTTGTGAGCTTTTCGACCCAGGGGTTAAAACAAATGAATAGCTCTTTGTGCCAGCAGGCTGCAGCTGTGGAGCATGTGAATTGTTTGTCTCCTGCTGATGAGTAATGAGGGAGAGTGAGATAAAAGAGCGCCATATCGTCTCTCCGTCTTCACACGCAGAGTGCTGTTTCATTAAGTCTTCTACAACTTATTGCTCAGCGAATGCCTGAGATGGGACTGTTAATATTTCTCCTCCAAAACCCAAGCACCGGTGAATTCTCAGCAGAAGGTTGATGACCCCAAAGATACGCGCTGCTGCTTAGGCTGGGCTTCCAGGGCTAATACTTGCTCGCTCTGGATTTTAGTTAATTTATGACTTAATTGCTAGGCAAGTCCCTCATGCCCAGGGACACTTTGTATTGCTTATTTCTTCTTAAACCATCTTCCCCTGCTCTGCTTGACCTGGAGAGCTGCTTTTCATCAGACTATGGCCAGATACCTAATTATATTTCATAGCTGACCTCAGTTTGAGCTCGGTGTTGGGTGCTTTGATTAGCCTCCTGTTTTTCTATCACCTCTGGAGTCTAGCACGTTGTTATCGCGCATTCTGCTGACAGCCCCGGCCGCTTCAAGGTTGCAGACTGCGGTACTGGCACATTAATTCTACAATTATGTCAAAAGAGTTCAAGAACGGCTCTCAGTCAACATCCCTCATTTGGAGCAATCTAACGCAGGTCAATAATGTTGTGATAAAAGGTGGAGTGAAGAGTTATGGCAGGCAGGAGTTTATCAAGGACTTAACACAACCAGGCCAAACTGTGCAGCCCTTTGGATTATTGGCTCTGCATGGTAGGGGCTAATGCGAGTGATGTATAGAAAGTGCAAGGAAAACCTTATTCGGTTGCTTGGGTGTGGTTACATCTAGAGGTGAGCAGATAATAAAAGTATGGATAACATTGTCAATGTTGTTTTGAGGATATGCAAAAATTGAAAACTGGATATATATTGAAAAAATATATACAGCAAAAAGTGCAGATTAAAAATGTAAAAGGGGAAAAAATCCTGTATTAAACTTTAATATAAATGGTATTTCAGCACTTATGTGGGTAATTTTACATGTGTCCAGTACTTAAACCTCACTTAATACATTTTGGATATATCTGAATATTGTCATCTGGAGTCTACTGTTACCTTTATATCAAAATTAGCACTAACTTTTTGGAGCGGCAGTAGAGTGGACCACCTGCCAGATCTGACTACATAGGCCGATATTTCTCTCCATTTGCTTCACCTGTCGCAGCTTGGACACTTCACTGTGGAAGCATTTGACAAGAGCTGTGGTTGACTAACCATCACACATGGCCCTTGACAAAAACACTCCAGCACATGTATTCTTTTCCTCTTACCAGATAACCTTTGTGGACAAATGGTTGCCTTTTATATCCTGTGTGTATGAAGTAGTGTGTTGTGAGTACTCACCCTAAAAAACTCTTTTGTAGACCCTGAGTCTAAAGTGCCATATGCTATCTCAGTCTGCTTGGCCAGATCCTCTGCACTTTCTATGGGAGAGACCATCCTCTCCACTGTGAGGAAGGCAGCCAGGTTAGCCGTGTAGGAGGAGATGATGATGAGGGTGAAGAACCACCACACACCGCCAACGATGCGACCAGACAGAGACCTAAGAGCAGATTGACATGTGCTTCCCATCAGCTGCTAACCACTTGTTTATACATACCACACTTATCTTTCTGGTCTATGTTATAATGTAATGTTATATAATGTATCCTCACCACACACATACCTGGAGTTGTGGTTTGTTTCATTCACAAATTTTTAACACACAAACCCTGCATATTTAGGGTGAGTTCTGTTCTCAAACAGAAAACACTCTGTTCCACTTTGTGATGTCATGTAATACAGCAAGTGCTCCACTGTGTTTTTAAACCACATACACCTTCACTAGAATCATTTGTATGATTTCAGCCCTGGAGTTGCCCATCTCTACTGAGCTAATGATAAAAGCTAGCTAACTTGATAACTGCCACTGCATGACATCACAAGGTGGGGCATTTTGAGCTCTAAGAAATGCAGACAGACTAATTATAAAGGATTTCTCAAACATGTGTGAATGAAACAAAACACAACTCCTGGTAAGTTTTTAATGAGGTGACACCATGGCTTAAAGCTCAGAAGAGTCAATTTTGTGTAATAAGCGACCTTTTATACTACTTACATTTCTTAACAATACTAATAATCATATATATTTTCGAGGGGTTTGCTGTACCTTGGTGAGATGTCACAGCCTTGTTGCATGAAGGCACCCAGGGAGAACCAAAGTGAGTTGAAGATGCCAAAGTCATTAGGAGGGTCTGGAGGAGTCTGAGGGTCTTTAGTCTCATCCTGCTCCTCTAGGTTCCACTCGTACGGACTGAAGCGGCTCACCAGGAACAGAACCACGCTCACCCCGATATAGGCAAATACTATACACATCCAGATCTCATAGGCCAGCGGGTCCAGGAAAGAGAACACTCCCGGCTTGGACTTTTGCGGCTTCTTTATCATAATGGAGATGCCCAAGCTCATAAAGGGCTTGGAAAAGTCTATCACCTCCTCTCGAACCAGTGTAATGGTGAGAGGCGCAACTGCTATATCTGCTCTCTGGAAACAGGGACAGGCACAGCGAGCATTAGACATGACACCTGTTTAGTGAAATGGGAAAATAAAGGGTTATCAAATTGTACATTCATAAAGCTTATAGGCAAGCGAAGGAATGCAGAAGGAGCAGCACGACACGTAGACCACTCAGGCATAGCTTAATGACCACCTGTATAATAACTGTCATTTTCTTATTTTTAGGGAGACTGCACACTTCAGTGATGTAGCTGTGCTGGTTCACTTGTGTCGAAAATAAAAAAGCTTTAGTTCTTTCAGATGTCAGTTGTCATAATGTTATGGCTGAGTGGTGAAAGGCACTATGTAGTGACACTGGCTAAGACTTTTAGATTTACATAACAGTGAAGAAGTGTATTTTGGAGTTTTTAGCTTGAAGGGAAAGAGACAGCTTGGATATACTCCACTAAGGCAGATGGGATCTTGAGTCATCCCTGACCAAATGCTCCTTAATCAGAACTCAAGACGCTACAGAAAGGGTAAAAATATTTCAACTGTCCCCAGTTGCTCAAAAGCTGTTGCACTTCCAGATGCAACAAAAGCCAACCATATGATCATCTCTTAAGTAAACTGAGAAGAATCTGGAGTTTAGATTTGAGGTACAGTACTGAGCAAAAGTGCCCCAAATTTTATAGCTTTCATTACACCTTATTTATCACACACCTTTTAAAAATAGGCAAGTGTCTTGCTCAAGGACACAACAACAGTATGCACAACAGTATAGAACTCCCGGATCTATACCAGAAATTCCTGTGTTTCATAAAAAAATAAATAATAAATAAAAATAAATAATACTGTCATCATGAATGACTGTAATCATTCAGTTACTATCACTTTTCACCAAACTTTTTTCCCCAGTACTGTATCTTCTCTGTACTGTATATAAACAGGAGTTGTGTTGACCGCGTGCCTTTGAGCATTGAGTGGATTTCCCAAACACGTCAAAATCTGGCATAGACCTTGTTCCCTCCAAGCTGTTTCTCTTTATCTCCCTTCTTTGCTCTGCTACTTCAATCACATTGTACTATCAAAATATAGTCATAGAGGTGGGGCCGCATTTTGGAAATCACCAGATTTCTTTGTAATAAGACCAGAAAATAATTAGTCTCATTAAACAATGTTAGTGCTGCTTGTGCTAGTGTCATTAACTAAATGTCGCTGTATTTTAAAGCAGCAGCTAGTGTGTGTAGGATAATTCTTGGCATTGTGCTCTATTGTCATTTTATGTCCAAACAGAGAAAACACTGAATAGAAGAAAATGTGTTTTACAAGGTCAGAGAAACGACAAACTGGCCCAATAAACATGAGTGTTTTCTTTGCCCTGTCAACACAGCAGTGGAAGGGCTATAACCATTTAATCCTTGTGCCGCCGTAAGCAGCACTCAATCAATGGCGAACGAAAGTAAGCAATAAAGAACAGCCTCAGGCCTAACCTTTAAAAGACAACTAAAATCGAATTAATTTACTGGTCAAAAGGTCAAAATGTACAAAACTATTACTCCTGGACCAACTGCTGTAAGATCACAAGACAGGGAGAGATTTGACAGCGATGTGTTTGGGATATTTTCTGCCCTCGCATCTGCGGGGAGTGGACTTTTCCCATTTGAAAGGTAATTTGGTTGCGATCGCACATCAAACCAAGCAATCTCTGTCGCTGATAACTGGGAAATTGAACAGATGAGGAATCCTAACCCCTATGCATTTTGTATTTGGCCCTCTTCAACTATTGTGGCCCTTGACAAGAAGACAGGGCGTCAGTGTAAGGGGAGAGGGGGACATTGGATGGGGGTGGGTGGGGGTATAATTTGGGAATGCGGGAGGTGTTGCGCTCTCTCAGATGTAAAACACGGCGTGACCATTCGCTAATGCACGAGCTACAATCTCTAATGGAGCACAACGCATATGGATCTTGTTGTCACCGACCACAATTTAGCTGTTGATTCGAACGCGAGATTTTCTCAGCTGTGAATTTACAATGTGGCATATCCATCATCATACACATCAAACATGGAAACATAATCACTTCAAAGGCGTACAATCTTTCATTCATCAAAGTGATTAGAGTGTGTTTGCCATATGGACTCATTGTTTGCATGTACCTACCTCTGTTTGGGCTGTAAAAGAGAGAGGCGTTCGAAACTAAGGGGAATTAATTGCAATGAACAGCACTGAGAAATGATTTCATTTTCTCCATCTCGAGATGATCACCAACTCTCTGATGCCTGTGGCCGCACTTGACAAAAATAACTCACAGCAGAGTTTTCTGACACAGTGTTACACTTTGAACTGGACATGAGCTGATGAGTTCAAATGAGTTGGTGATAAGCTTGAGACAGAAAAATGAGATCTCCTCTCATGTTGAAGTTCCTTGCAAACTGTCATGTAATCAGTGAATACAAGGGTCCCAGTACTCACCCCATAGACCAGTTCACCCACCATCCCGTTCCACGTCTTGGTCTCGGGGTCACGGGCTCCATACTTTCCATCCATTACTATAGACAGTTTGTACTTAATTCCAACATGTTTGGCAATCTCAGATGCTAAATCGACGCAGTAGCCTTCATATCTGTCATTCCCCTCCAGATGCATATAATTTTTCTTGTACATCACATAAGGAGCTTCCTGTAGGTTCAAACACACTTGGTTTATTCCGCTGCCATGCCTCGTACTCACATCCAGTCAGTCACTCAGTAATATGCACACATGCCTGCACTTCACTCAAAGAGCTGATTTTACCCAGAGTCATGCAGTCATGCAGATACAAATGATGCCCACAAATGCATAAATATGCAGTGATAAGAGAAACGCAATCAAGTGGTCACACTGCTCTCATCAAAGCCGCTGCAGCCAGACACCAAGCCCAATGCACTCAATCCTTCAGAGCCCAGGGGTGCAACTCCGGCTGAGTTATGGAAGAAAAAGTACAAAGTTTTTGAGAGGAGCAGCACTGTGCAGACTCAATTTGGGATCTGGGCAGGAAGCCATTGGTATGCAAGGTGTGGGTCAGCGCTGAGTGGGTGGGATGGGAATGGGGATGGCTTTCATAAGTAAATGCTAGTGACAGGAGAGGGATCAGAGTGCCCATTGGATCTTAACATAGTCAAGCACATTGGACCAAGGCGTGGTAAATACTGTTCCATTCCAAAGAAAAAAACATAAATAAATAAAAGAAAAGGAGCCATTGTTTGCTGTTAAGGAATGCAAAATACTGCATAAATCAAATAAATAATTAGACTGGGAGAGCAGGAGCGTGCTAGTTATGCTCTTCCTTTCAAAAGGCTGGTGCAGCTTGTCTGTTCTTTCATTGAGCACATAATCATTATGAAACAATAAGGCGCTCAGGAGAGCACGTATCGTCATTACAGCCACACACAATTGGAGTGCATGTAGGAGCAATGGTTTTATTTGTTCTGTGCTGAACGTATCCCTCACCTCGGATCCATTGAGCAGTTCCTTCAAGTTAACACATGTTAACCTTCTGACTGTATTCTCATATGCAGACGCTTAATGTTTCCTGGTGTTATTGAATGTGGCAGCCTTATTCCCTTGAATGCAAATGTAATGTGAGCTCCAAAAATTATTCTACAGTATGTTGTTTTAAAGTGTTTGTTTTCAGTGTCAGATCATTATCCTGCAATCAAATAATTCTATGTAGTGTTACACAAAAACATATACTGTTTGTTTAATGTGGATACAACGTAGAGAAGGTCATACTTCAACGCAGAACAATTAAGAGGGCAATGCAAAATAGACCAAAGAGGCAAGAATCCCTGTCTCCTCCAGCTCCATGGAGAGTTATTTTGCTTTGCCCGTCTGTCAAACCATCTCTTTGTAACTGTGTTCATTCTTCGGCCAGTCTATCCCGATGTCATTGAACATTTACTTGATGAGGAAAGACAGGTCTACTTACGTATGCGTTTGTATGCGTTTGTAATTGATGGAGTCAACCATAATAATTTACCATTATTGTGATGTCACTGCTACGACAGGCCACTGAAGTATGGGAACTCAAAATGCTTTGGCACCCACACTGATACAGTTGAAACACTCTCTCGGAGATCGACTGTTTCAACATGTAGTGAGTGGATGGAAAGCAACACAAAAAAGATGTGGTTCTACCCGCCCAGGACAGAATGTCTCACTCATCAGAATCAACACCATGACCTTGAGTGGCAGAATACGTCAAACATTAAAAACTACACGGAAAGTGTACCATAATAGTAGTGACCACAATCGTTCGATTTTCCACTGAGGAGTCGTTGGAGACCTGCGGGTCCATAATATTAACAAATCGAGTGTATTCGTTCCAGTACCCGATCTGCAAAAAGAAAAGGTTTCATGATACCCCACTGTTTCAAAACATGAACTATAAAAGTCACATGGTTACATAGAAAATGATCACAACAGAAATAAAGACTTTTTAGTTGACATGACCATTCATTTCAATGTTAGGGTTAAACCAGTTGTGCCTTTTATTATTGTACAATTTAGATGTTTGCACTTTGTAATTTAAGGCCTTAACTGTGGTATTCTCTTATAGACTTCACACATCCGTGTTGCAGGCTGAAGTGCCTGCTGTTTTTTTTTTTCTACTGTTTTATAGCAAACTCTTATAGAAAATATCAGAAGGTGTGTAGAGTTTGTGGATTAATCTTGGGCAAAACACAAGCATATGGCAGACTACTTGAGCCCCTCCTATTCCCGGTTTCTTAGGTTTGATGGTAAATAATTGATATGCAGGACTGTGCACTGCATACACATTTAATAATTTAACATAAAATCCCACTGGCTGCAGTTTCTTGTGTGCAGGTTTGCCATTGCTGTTTCTCTGTATTCTGCTGTACTACAGATGCTTAAGTCAAACTAATGTCAAGTGTTTGTTTGCCCATCTGAAATAATGGCTCTGGCTCATGATGAAACGTGTAGCATATTTCACTGCCAATAGTATAACTGTTGCTGGCTCCATTTTCCTTACACACATCTGGTCTGCGTCTTTTTTTTTGCCCTTAGATCTTTAAATGTTTCGGCCAGACAGGTGCACAAAATTGCAGGGATTTTAACCTGCCAAGTGGAGGCGCTAGAAAGCAGCAGACTTATCAACATTCAGCAGTTGTAAATATGGATTGCACAGTTGGTTCACTTGCCGGACTGATAAAAGCCGCTGTGTCTGATAAGGATATTGGGAGAAGAGGTGTGCTATGGAAAGCTGCACCAGAGGCAATAGTCTGATTGTAATTCGAGCTGCTTGGACCCTTATCAAAGTAAGCATCAAATATGACAGTCACAGCTAAGAAACTTCCTCTGACTGCAGCGAGGGGGCTCCGGAGACAAAACTTCTGCCTGCAAAATCTCATTTCTCTGTTTTTCTAACATTCCAGAAAGATTACATTTCAAGTTGTTGTTCCGGATGACCTTATAGTGATGCCATAAATCTGCACTTTATGTCAGCCCTCAGAATTTCAAAAGATTTCGGCTGTAAAAAAAATCTTTGTACTCTATTATGTAATGACGATAGATGGTAAACACATTTTAGGTGAATTAGTATCAGTAAAAAAAAGTTAAAGGTGCATTATGTAACTTTTCTGGTGGAGGGCAAGCCACCTATTTGTCTCTATGGAGATATTTATTGCTTTATCTAGAATATTGAACAGTATGGCATTTCACTTTCTATTTATCCATTCAATTGTGAGATTAAATTTGACCTGGACGTCGCCCTTATGGCATCATCTCCTTGTCTCCATAAAGATGGAACAGTTTAAATGCAACACTACAGAACATTCTAGGCACAGTGATGAAAAGATGACATAGATACATAGTTTATCTTGATATAGAAAAGCAACAATATTGCTATATTTTGCTCCATAGACAAAACAATAAACCATGACATCATAAAATGGTCAGGGTTTATCCAGGACCTAGATTACATCTCCTGGAATACTGTCCTTTTTCTTGTCTCCTCTCTCCCGTGCATCCTCCTTCCTATGTATTCTATACTCTCTCTGTATTTGGCTCTTGGCTGTGAGGACTGAGTGCTACTAATTGAAGTGTGGGCTCACAGGCCTGTGAGGCAGAGGAATAATCACACGTCATATCAGCCCGAGCCCACTCTGATCCAGCTAACGAGAAAATTTGCAGCTGTCTGTTGGAAGTTGGCGAGGCTCTAAAACCAGAGGTCATCATATGTTACTGGTTAAAATGCAAATGTACCAGTGGGAATTACGGTTTTGAAGAGCAGCCAGAGGAATTCTTGGAGCCCCTTTCTACTGTAATTGGTTATTTGAATGGTAATTACTGTCAGGAGAGGACCAAAATTCATAGCTGCCCCGTGGCACAGAAGAGCTCCTCCATCACTCGTTTGATAGGACAGTTTGAGCTATCAGATCTCAGGGCTGCGTATGATTTGTAGGGCTTGTAATACAGTCGGCATAGCTCATCAATGCTGCTACCTCACCAAGGTAGAGCAGGCAATCAGCATTACTCTGCTCTGTCCTTTGAGCCTTGCTTGTCCCATGGCACAAAGAATGACTGCGTAAGTGCTCTGTACTTTAATCAATGGCAGTGCGGGCCTGTTTGAAAATGTCATGCTGTTTTATGAAATACTTGTTAGCCCTCAGCCTTGTTACATATGGCACACAATATTTTCTGTAGTCTTTTTGCTAGTTTTCACTCATCGATCAATACAGGATGGGGAATGTGTCTTCCTAAACCATGGTTGTGTGCTCTTGATAAGGCCTATATAACTGATGTGTTGACAGTTGATGGGGGCTGTCATTCAGACTTACCTTCCTCGGCCCACCTGTCTTCATCTCATAAATGTCTATGGTGTAGTTGGTCCTGCGCCCGTAGTTGTCAAACTGGATATTTCCCGTCATCCCCTGCACTTGCACCTGCCGTGTGGGACAGACAGACACATATAGACATATAGAAGAGCAATCACCCAGTGCATAGAGCTGGTATTAAGGTGCTCTTGTCCATGGAGCTACTGGAGTGAGCAAAAGCTGTTAATCAAATGATGAACTGGATACACTTTAATAAAAGATGTAGTTTTATGGTAATGAGAGGCAGGATTTGAGAGCGCTCCTTCCACAGATATCTGCAGGCGGAGGGAGGAGACCGGCTCCACTGTCACTTTCCATCTTTATCACCCAGCGCGCTCTGCTATCTCTGCTTCACTTCTTCTTCAAGCCTTTCTTTACTTATCAGTCTGCTCCACTCCCTCCCGTCTGTCCTATCCCTCCTCCAGCGTCCTACCGTTTTGAGAGCTCTCTCGATGTCGATGCCTTGGCTCCAGGGTACAGCGGGATTGGCCAGACAGTCCCCGGCGCTGCCTCTCCGGGACACGTCCACACGCTGGCGCCGTAGGTACCGGAACGCCTCTGCGATCACCAGGATGGCATCGTGGGTAAGGGCCGAGGTGTACTGCGGAAGTGGAAACAGCAGTGAGGCTCCAGAAGAACAAGCTGTGAAAATGTGAGGAATCACGTGTGGATGTGAGGCCCCAGGACTCCTCACCAAAATGTAACGCTGCTCATGACTTTTTATAGTTCAGGGCTGTTGGCTGAATATTTCTACTCTTAGGAATTCCAGATGAGAAGTAAAATGTAGGTCAGCTATACATACTTAATATAGTCTGTTCACACATTCCTTATTGGATGTACATTTTAGTATTTTAAGTGTGGAGTTGCTGTACTTTTAAACTAGTTTGCTAAGAAATAATATGGCCATCTACGTGGATATTTTAGTATCTTGGGTGCTCTCTAATATGCCTACTTTTCACTAATGTACAGTTTTAACATAGTACACCAAATTGACTAGATTAAGCACTTTAGATTATTAGATTTAAAAATCTTTATTATCAAACCACTTACAGCATATTTTCCTGGTATGCCACAGTGCCTCCATTTAATAGCACATCTTTAAATGATGTGAGAAAAATGCAGTGTCATCTTGAATGAATTAAAAGAAAGCATAAAAAGGATGGGATGCTTGATTACGGCTCCTTCATATCAGGAGTTGTGTATCTTAAACACTTCACTATAAACTCCATAAAGAGTAGCAGTGAGGCAGAGGAGTAATCTAGTGGTCAAGACCTTTTCTCAAAGTTTTACTGCAGTTTTAGCTGAAGATGAGTGTCCTAATGCAATACGTTATCTCCTACGCTCTTTCCCTTCATGTTATCTTGACCTTTTCCCCGCTCCTGCCTCCAGACGCCCGGCTGTTGACCACTGCACCATGACAAAATCTAATTAAATGCCATTCAAAATCCATTTCTTTCTTGATCATTGTTTAATTAGATGTAAATTGAAGCTGTGATATAACCTCGCCGCGCAGTGCCTATCAATATATTGATTGTTGGGCGGGATGAAACACAAAGCTGTGGAGAGCTGAGGGGTCGTAGGAGGAGAGTGACAAAGGCAAACAAAGGATGAGAGAAGGAGAAGTGATAGAGCCCACTTCAGAGGAGCACGACTTGTATTCTGCATGCACAATGAAAAGCCTCGCTGGCAAAGCACCTTCAGAGGAGTGTTCCGGGCTTCGGGGAATTCTCTTTCATCCAGCCGCTCCCAGCGCTGCATAAACTGTTGTACAATGGGGTTCTCAGGGTTCACTATCTGAAACCCGGAGATGTTGGCTCCACCAGCGAAGACTTTGTCCAGGCTCACATTGGTAAATCCCTGGATGAGACGAAAGAGTTAAAGAGTTATGTTATGAAAGCACTACTCGAGTAACTTGTTCTACTTTGAAGTTGCTTAAATAAAATGAAAGGGAAAGCTCAGCAGAATACTAGAAAGGTCGGCATCGTGTGGTCCTCGGCATTTATAGAGCACTGTAGAACATGTGTGTGCACTTAAAGTCCAGCCGGGCTTCTCTTTGTGCTCCTAATGAAATGATTTCACAACTTTAAAATTTGCTGTCAAATACTTCTGCGTGTCACCAGCTGGACTCATTTTATACTCAGATGGTTGGAAAAAATTACTTAAAATACAGGTGTGGTTAGAAGGCACAGTGCGGCATGCACGACTTTTTGTATAATGATTTCAATGCATTTTAATCTCTTCTATTATGTGTTTATGTGTATTTTGTGTTTAAAATGGACTTGTTTATAATTTGAAATGGATACTAAATCTCAAATACTATTTCCATTCTTTAATATTTGGGTGCGTGTTGCCTTTTCACACAAGAGTACTTCTATTGAGCACTATTGAGCCTTAGTTTGTTATAGTATAAAACTGTTTTTCTTCTACTGCAGGGAAGGTAAACACAGCTGTCAAAAGCAGGTCATTCATCCAATTGTGCATTGATCAGCAAATATCAAACATATCATTTTTCAAGCTCAAGTCTTTAATCTGCTTATTGTGCATGTAATGTTCAAGGCAGGTCCCATCACACACAGCATGGAACAGATCCGGTGTGTCCCTGCGGAATGAGTGGGTTATTACTCACCAGATTGGCCAGAATGTAGTGGTAACCACGGCTGTTCTTCCCCAGGGCCACAACCTAAGGCAGAAAACATCAATACAGTCAACCATCCATGGGAGAACAGAAAGATGCTGGTTTTAAAGGACCAAACACAAAGGTGGAGAGTACTCTTTTACTAGTTCCTTGAGTAACTTTTGTATTTCTTTGAGTCCTTTTCTAGCACCATAACAACTTTTAATCCTACTTGAGTGATGTATTTTAGACTGTAAGAGTACTCTTAATTGAGCAAATATTTTGGTTACTGTTCCCACTGTGAATATGTCAGTTGACAAAAGCTTAATATCAAATGATTTGTACAGATTAAATTTTTCCTGTACCAATCCTTCAGATACGATTTCTCATTTTTGTGGTCTATTCTTTGTAAACTCCAGGTTTTACAATTACACCACAACTTTAAATTATAAATCAGATGTTACATACAGATGGTCACTTGAGTAGCAGTTTCCCCAAATACTTTTACTCTCATTTAAGTATAATATCTGACTATTCTACACACCTCTGACCACACAGACTGTATATTCAGTGTACGTTCAGATCTGTTCTAGCTTGCAACAGCCTTCAGAAGTTCAAAACAAAGAAAACGCAGCCATTGAATAATAAGAAAGGAAAGTTGGCTTCATTAAGGAGAGGTCGATACTTAACTATACAGTATATTTCAATATTTAGCTCACTTGTATCTCTTAAGTACTAGAGTCATGGGCCAACTGTTGGACAGAAGGCATAACAATGAAATCATAAAAAGTTACAGTGAGACGGTGAGATGCGGAGCTTTGAAAATATCACACCTTCGGAGCATAACAGCATGTTTCAACCCACGCAGCCTGTCTGAAAATAGTTGCCGGCGTTCTAAGCATTACTATAATTGTGATACCCGCCATATGCTGTCTTTTATTGGAGATTTTCCCCTTTGTTGTAGTCCACAAATTCATCCAGTTGTCAAGTCTAAATTGGCTTGGCTTTGAGTCTATTACACGCTGGACATGCCCTTCAACTTGTCCTCACAACGTTATTTATGACTTTCCAGTGGGTGCCTTTTTGAACGGTTGCCATACCAAACGTGTCAGCCCTGTCTTGCTTTATTATTATTATTTTTTTTCACGTGAGATTTTCCAAACATGAGTTTACAGCAAAATCAACATGTTTGTGCATGATCTGGCTCCAACTCAAACACTGTCAGTTTGTCATGAGTTCGTGTGAGCTTTGTATTTGTTCTGTGGGTTCCTAATGAAGACGGAGAGAACTTTGTGTGATAGTAGCAAACAATTATCCTGGCACGAGCTGCAGATGATTCATATTCACTTGTCTCCTCTTTTGGACATTAGGGGGTGCCTCGTAAATAGGCCTTCACACTGTTTCTTCTCCAGTAGTGGCACATGAGGGAAGCACAAACACATCAGGGCTTATTCATTCATGCTAGCACGGCGCTTCGGAGGGTCATCATTCTCTGACAGCCTCCTCGTCATTAAAGCGTTACTCTTGGAGCGCAGCGGGGGGCACTGCGCCGGGAAGAAACCAAAGAAAGGCAACTGAAAACAAAAGGAAAATGAGCTGATTATGATTCTGAACTAGCAGGAGTTTGACTTTTAGGAGCCATCAATCAGCAACTAATGAGTAAGTGACAAAATGCCATGCAAACAGAAATCCTTCCAGCACTATAGCAGTAGTGAGGGCTTGACATGCTAGGTGTACTCAACAGGCTTATAACTTAATAATAATAATAAAAGTATTAAAGGGAAAGATGAAAAGGATCCATATTACACTATTTTCTGATTTATGTTATAATGTTGTTTCCTCATCACAAACATATCTGGGTTTGTGTTTTGTTTCATTTACACATGTTGGATGAGTTATTTTCTCAAACAGGAAACTCTCTATTCCACCTTGTGATGTCATGTGGTAATACAGGAAGTGCTTCACTATGTTTTTAAACTCCATACATCTGCACTATAGAAGCACTTGGATAATTTCAGCCCTCAAATTTCCAATCTCTACTGAACAAACGGTAAAAGGTAGCTGTTAATCATCAAAACTACCACTTCATGACGTCACAAGTTGGGACAGAGCATTTTGAGCTTTCGAGATGTAGACAACTAATAATAAGGGATTACTAAAATGTGTGTGTCAATGAAACAAAACACAACTCCGGGTGTGTTTTTGATGAAGTAACAACATTTCAATATGAATTAAAGCTCACAAGAGTCAATTTCATGTAATATTGGACCTTTAAAGTAATAATATGAACTTTTATTTACATTCCACCACAATGTTTTCAGAAAGGACCTTGACCTGGCTAAAGTGCCCCTCACACCTGCTTGTAGCCAGGCAACCAGTCCCTGTGCTACTAACAACCAACCAACCTGGCAACGCCTACGAGCCACAACCTCAGGACAGAACACAGCATGGCAGCAATGACAAGCATTTTCTGGCACTAATTTTCTCTTAATTAGCTCTGCCATCCAATAAAGCATAGCCGATAAGAACATGTTCAGATAATTTTTGCTCTTTAGTAGAAATAATACATGGCCTATAGCGCTTTGTGATAGAAATCTGTATTGACAAAATGTTCATTTGTGTTCAAAGAGATGCAACACTTTTCAAGCAATAAAATGCTATTGTGAGGAGTAATGCTTGGTCAGTAAACATAGGAAATGTAATATAACACTTTGAGGCTCTTTCACTTACGGAAATCAGCTCTGACTTTGGCTCACAGCTGTATAAGGAAAGGCTACTTTTTAACATTCTGGCTAGAATAATGAATTGGCTCGGTCGTTTGGCATAAACACGGAAAAAACACAGTAAAAGGTAAAATTAATATTATACCTTTGTTTGTGTAAAATGTTTTTGTGCTAGCTGGCAGCATTATGCAAATGTTCACAAGTCACACTCTGATTTGGTTCTGCATGGTCAGGCATTAAGGGACTATTTATTTTTTTATTTTTATTTTTTTTTTTATGTGGAATAAACCCAGCTCTACCTTTTCCACTTATGAATTTTGTTATTTTCCTTTTAATAAAAAATTTGACCACAAATAACATATAAGCAGAGGCTACACGTTGCACAGTCTAAAGCAATAGGTCCTAGCTCCTGAACTTTCTGTCCTTTCCTGGCTCAAGTCTCCTCTTATTGATTTATGTTGCTGTTAATTTATTGTTATGGTTCACATACAAACACAGCACAGGTCCACTTACCAATTACCCTGGTTTCCCATGACACCGAGGAGAAGAAATGTGTTTGAGCTGTCTACCCTTAAGTAATGTGGAACCTCATTGTATGGACTGTACTGTCTGGCTCATTGATCCTGCAGTCTGTGAATTCTAGCACCTTTGTTCTGCTGTTGAAGGAGGGCTGCCATATTTTTGCAGTCACTTTAAAAGCTGATGAGGAGAGACAAGCATGGTGACCTTGATTTCACCCTCACTCAGACTGGGCATGCGTACCCTGCCAGACAGAGGCCCCCAAAAAATAAAAAAAGTAAAAAAAATCCATACAAAGTCTACATATTTTAAATAACTGCCCCAGTGTTTCAAAATTCCACCGTTCTGTTTTTCTACAACTATCGTGTGAATCTCAGAGAGAACAAAAAATATTTATGTTGGGCTTTTAAAAAAAACCCAAAAACTCTTGCTTAAAACACAACACAACTTGTTTAAATAATTTCCACAGCAAATCATCTGCATTCCAGAGATTAGTAAAGATGTTAGATTACCTGACAGGCATCCATTTTAACTCTTTATCTCTTTTGAGCTTCTGATTGGGACAAACAATACACATAATTGGGTATACTACAAGGCATATATAGGTTTTATTTAAAGGTCCTATATTATACAAAAGAGCTTTAAGCCATATAAGAATGCAGTTACCTCAAAAATATATCCAGAGTTTCATTTCATTCCATTCACATGTTTGAGTAACTCTTTATTATTAGTCTGTCTACATCTCCAAAGCTCAAAAATGCTCAGTCCCACCTTGTGATGTCATGTAGTGTTAGTTTACAGATTAACAGCTACCTTTTAGGTTTTAGCTCAGTAGAGATTGGCAATTATCCAAATGATTCTAGTGAAGGTGTATGGAGTTTAGAAACACAGTGCAGCATTTCCTATATAACCACATGATCACGTTTCAAGGTTTGTGTTAAACATGTGTGAATAAAACAAAACACAATGTTTTGATGAGGAAACATTATAACATAGATCAGAAAATAGCGTAATATAGGTCTTATTTCTTATTGTGTGTGTGTGTCTCTATGTAAACTACCGCTTAAGACCTTTACGCATGCATCACTTTTTATCATAAAGTATCAATGACTATAATTCTGCTGGCACAAGTTGCTGTTTAAAATGGCTGACACTTTGTTGCATATCAGAAATTATGAGAAAAATCACTAAAGGGTATAAGTTACACTTAATTAATTGTTAATAATCGTTTCAATTAACTGATTAGATCTTCACTGTGGCTATCAAAGCGACAGCCGCAATGCAATTTCTCTGGGGTGAATTGTGCTTGGTTAATCAAATTACACACAAAACCTACAGCAAACACTCAAGTAACTGATACCATGTTTGCATAATATTTTGGGTAACACTTTATTTTGCTGTACACATATTAAGTTTTAACAGCTTCTTCTAGCTGCTAATTTGCATACATGTAAGCGATTAGTTTGAGGTTAATTAGCATTTATTCAGTCTTATTCTGCGGCTAATTAAACATTTGCTAACACGTTCCTATTATAAAAGTCATTATTACAGCGTATTAGTATGATTTGAGGGCATTTTAGCACATGAATTAGCATTAATAAGTGAAAACTATACATATAAAATACTAAAAAGCCATAATAAGGACATTATTAATGGGAGTCTTGTTAGTAAATATCTTATTAATAGCAGAACAAGCTTATGCCGATTAAGACATTAACAAGGACCAAATAATTAATCACTTACAAGTATGCAAATAAGACATAAATCAAAGTGTTCCCATATCTTGTACATGTATATAAACCAAACCATTATTAAACAGCGCTT